CTGGTGTACAGCAGGATGAGTTTCTAGGCACCTTTTCACCTTCCGACACTGCCAGTCCCTCTGAGGGATGTGACCTTCCGGAGGGCGCCGTGCGGCTGTCTCGACGTCCTCTGGAAGGAGTTTCGTCTCTATCTTCCTGTGATATGGTTTTCTCTGAGTCGGTTCTTTCTATCTTGAAACTTACTGGCTGAAAGTAAACGTGAGGGTATTTTTGCATTAATAACAATCATATTATTCAAAAACATCACTCAATATGTCACGCTAGCTGTCACAAAACCTAAACTGTTATATCCCTATTTTTGTGCCCACAAAAGGGCATTAAAAGGGCATCTACTCTTGTTATACCCCATTTCCCAGTGTACAGCCCATGCTCTCCTGCAACTCAGGAACACTGTGATTGACATTGTAGAAAAGGTTTGGCCCCACAGTAAAATGGAATTATAAAATTTATAATAGAAATTGTTTTCTACCCTTTGTGCTACTCAAAAATTGATGGTTTTGAGGTGTGGATAAGCCACTCATTCAGTGATTCATTCATGCATACATGGATTTATTAAGCAATTCTGTTGCATGCATCCAATTGATTGTATGCAGTGTGGGAATGTAAGAGAAGACTGCATCTCAAAGAAAGCCAAAAAATCCATGCAGTTCATCCCAGGACTTTAGACACTTTGTAGTCCAATGATCTGAAAGATCCTTTTCCTGCTTTCAGTAAATGCTGGGATCAGGAGATTTCAGATACTCCTTCAAGGGGTGAGATACTTTCTGTTCAACCATCACACTGGGAAAGCATGTCGGGGCATTATATCTTCAGGAATGTGGGGGGTCTTCTCAATCCAGGTCAACCTCTTTATCAGCTGCTGGGTGAGGACACAGATTTGCTTCCCAAGTGTGGGGATGACACAAAGCTGGGACGCTAACAAACGTGCTGGCTGGCAGAACGTTCTGGAGAGGAGCCAATTCTAACAGGAAAAATGCAATAGAGATGAAATAGCCTCCTGCACTGTAGCCTCCAAACAAACAGCACAGCCACCGAGCAGTGGAGCCCCACACTGAAAAGCAGCAGCCACAAGACCAGCAACAAAATAGGAAGCATGGAAGGGCTTCAAGCTGTGTGACACACGGGCCATGTATGTACGGCACATAAGCCAAATGCACGTGGCACATGAGCCCCGTAGAGCACCACCCCAGGCTGCATCAGCAGAACTAAACCCTCGGGGACAGCCCTCTCTGGTCAGCCCCAGCCAGAAGCTTCCTGCTGTGTGTGTGCTCAGAGGAAAGCAGCCAGCAGGACTCGGAATCTCTGCTCTGCAACAAGATTGCTGAGGGCATGTTTGGAAATGCAGACGTGCATCTCCTTAGAAGAATGCACGGCTCCAGCAGCACCACGCTCGTCCAGGAAAGAAGATTTCAAATTTGGGCCCAGGACCTCTGCTTCCCTTTACAGAGTATAATCACTAGTCACCTTTGGAGAAGTCAAATTTTTAGATGGCGATCCTTGTCCCGGGAGAGTGGCACTACGACTCTTGCTGCCAACATATTTTGGCTTTATTTCTTTATCAGCAGGCAGAGGTGAAATTTTTCCAAAAGCAGATTCTGATATTGATACCTAAAAGGCAATTTATCACAAACAAAATTCAGGAGAAATTCTCACATATTCAGAGGTATAGTAATTGTAAGATAAATTCAAATTTTAATCCATTCAACAATAATTGGAATGTCCTGGGGGAAAAAACAGGTTGCAAGGTGGGGGGACTTGGGCTGGGTTTTCCCCTCAACATGTTGATAGGGATGGACCAGATTGTCACTGACCAGCATGGGCCAGTGTCTGCTTTGTGTTCCTTATCGTGATCCCCTTTTCAGAATGATCACAGGATCCCAAAGGCAGCGGAGTAACCAATACCCAACACTTGCTCCTTCGATTACGCGTCTTCACCTGAGAAGGTGTTCGAGGAGGAAGAAAACGCGACACTATTTCCAGTGAGGTCTCTGCACTTGCCAAAGATTTGAAATGCGAATTCTCAGTCTATCCTGTTACCTGCAGACTTGCTGGAAACAGCTCGATTCTTCACGTGAAATGAGTCGTTTTAGGTGTTTTAAGTGGTTCATCACTCAGGCTGCTGAGGAGGAGGAGGGAACGTGGAGGGGACAGGGCTGACGCTAACCTTCCATACCATGTCCAGACCGGCCGACCCACAGCCATGCACTCCATGCGTGTGCTCACTTGTCAGCCCTTTAGATTCTCTGTCCCTAAAATCGTGTCTACTTGTAGATAGATACACCTATACATATCTTAAAGTGTGGAATTCACATGTCCTGTCTTTTTTCTTCAAATGGGGGTGTCTTTTTGAGGCAGATGCTGTCCTTGTAAGTAGCCCCGTGGTGACAGGACTGTGCACAGAATCAATAAACACTCGGAAGTCACCAAGCAATAACCTCAAAATAAGAGAAAATTTGAAACCGCAAGGTGCGGGAAGCTTGAGTAAGAGGTCATTGACTCTTGGGCCCAACATATAATGACCCAAATGGGCGGTAGATACAATTTGTTAGAAAGTGGCATAAAATCTACGTAAAAAAAAAAACCTGTGGGTCTCCGCGGGGTTCTCCCGACAGGACGTAGACAATTCTGGTCATTTCCCCCTTGCACCCCTCACAGATTAACAGCTGCCCCTGACATCTGTTCTTCTGCAGAGGCTTTGGGCACCTCGCTTGTCCGAGAGGGTAACCCTAGTTTCCTTCTGGGAAATGGAGGCCATCTCCATGGAAACAAGTCTCCCCAGAGCACCCTGAAGTGTGGTGATAGCTTCTGAGATTTTCCTTGACTCTTGTAGAGAAACTCTAGACTGTTCTTGCAGCGCTGGGAGCGAAAACAGACCACAGAGCCGGCTCCTGAGAGGTTCTATTCAGAATTTACTCTGTGTGCGCGTGCACAAGTATGCATGCGTGTGCACGTGTGTGGGTGTGTTTTAATGATTGCACTATATCAGAAACGTCCTAAGTCCTTGAACTATAGATTTAGAAGTTCACACAATAAGTGCAGATAAGAAATGTTAGCACTTTTCTTAATCCACCGGAAAACACCCTCACTTACATTGGGGGATGTTTACCCAGTTTCATATGTCGAGATCTGTACATGACATTTTAATGATTCAAGTTGTTTAGCTCCCTATGCAGAAGATAGAGCACAGACAAAGTAGTAAAAACACCAGCCGCGTTCACAATCTCTTTGGCACGTTCTTTTGGTCGAACATTTTAGTCTAGACTTGGACTAAATGTTACCAAAAGCCGCTCAGTATTTAAAGCAACTGACCACCTCGGTATAAGAATACCGATTCTTAATTTGAGTCCTAGAGGATGAATAGCTCAGCATCGAGACACTGAGCTGGTCCTGGGTCAGCCTGGCCTCAAACCCAAGCCACATGACCATAAGGGCATTGGTCACAGGATCTGTTTCTAGGGTTGCTGTGAGTAAGAACATAAGGCACCGTGCCTAGCCTGGGTAGGAGCCCTACAAGGGCTCGAACTGCTGCTGTTGTCTGACGTTGCTAGATGTCTTAGAAGACCAGACATGAGACTTGGCAGCCTGGGGGGACCATGCTCCTCTGTGAGGGCTCCACTGGAGAGGCCTCACCTACCCAGTGTTTATTCATTATTTATGGGAAGTGGAGTTGGTTAGGAGACAGCAAGCCCTCTCTCCTCCTGGAGGGTAGAGATACCACAACCACCCCGAGGTACATCATGTACCTTTACAATGACGCTACTTTAAGTAAGGCAGAGAAGTCTGGTACCAGAGTGTCTGCTCCTCGTCTCGTGGGAAGGAAGGCTGCAGATTTCTCTCTGGCCTCCAGTCGCTGCAGCTCGGAAGCCCTCAGTTCTTCTCGGAGCTCCAGGTTCTGTTTCATCAAAATGTCTATCTGGCTCTGGAGTTTGCTGTGAGCGTCGGCCCACCGAGACACGTGTCTCCTGAACTCCTCTTGAAGTCTGCTGACCTGCTGCTGTAATCGCTGTCGTGGGGAAGAGAACACCAGAAGACCTTTCAGACGCCACAGCTGGTGCACCTGCCTGCAAAACACCCGAGCCCTTTCTTATGGAATACTGAATATTCTAGACAAAAAGGTCAGCGCCTTTGACATCAAGACTAGAACAGCTTTATCCGTTTCTATTACGTAGTGTCCACTGTGAATTGTTCCACATAATGTAACAAGATAAAGAGGGCTGGTGAATCATTGCTCTTTGTTAAAATATTACTGTGACAAAAAGAGGCTGAAATTCTTATTTTTTCCTTCTTCTTAACCTTATTCTCATGGGGGCAGTGTAGCATGGAGTTAAGACCACGAATTTCAAAATGACCTAGCCTCCAATCCTGTAATCCTAGCCTCACCACTTCCTTGCTGTGTGACCTCAGATAAGTCACCTAACCTCTCTGGCCTCAATTTCTCTTCCCTCAATTTGCTAATCTGAGAATGAAAACTGGTGCTGAACGCACAGCATCTAGTAAAGAGAAGGGCACTTGGAAAATGCTGAGTAAACGTTGGCTGTTACTTTTGTGCTTCGTTAAATTATGCTGATTGTAACATCACACAGCTTTTCATGTTAATATATACAACAGACTTCAAAATTCATAAAATATTAGCTGCTGGGCATGACACAAAATGTTCTTTGTATATAAGAATCAAAGTTGTTTTTAGCTAAGAAGACATTAATCTGCCTGCAGTAGAAACAATTTAGCAGAGAACCTCAGAACAAAGAAAAGGCTAAAAGGCTCTAGAACTCATGAGAAGTACTGCAGGAGACCAGAATGTGCCCCCAAATATGAAGACTTGTTGGACTGAAGGCAAACAAGAAGCAGGTGCAGCAAGCTCTCTGCCTCCCCCATCTGCCTAAAATCAGGACACAGATTCCCAAAGGCAAAAGACACCCCCCTGCCCCTCTCTGCCAGGGAGAACAAAGGGTAACCACTGAGGAAACTGTGGATGCTCGTGGGCCTGGGGACGGCCCCAGAGCAACCTGCATGAGCAAGCTGCACTAGCCAGCCTCTCTCTGCCAGCTGCTCTCCTTTCCACGTGTCACTGCCCCTAGGGACTCAAAGTCCTTTCCTTTGTCCTGTCCCTCCTCTAACCCTTTACTGTTCTCTGTTGAAGACACTGTAGAAGCTGGAACTCAAAGCCACCTCTTTGAGAACTACTTATTTCTCGGGCATCTTCCATGTAAATATATGAAATATACACATTATTAAACTTCTGTGTGTTTTTCTCTTGTTGATCTGTCTTTTGTTACAGGGTCAGTTCCAACTAAGAACCTATGACGGTTAAAGAAATATTTTTGTCCCCTTATGGTATTTTCGTTTTATAGAGGTTATCTCTGAGAAGAAACTAGCATCAGGTTGCAAATTAACCAAAATCTAAGAAATTAAGTGATAAAATTATTCTCTTAGTTAATTCTAGAAAAAGTGAAAAAGCAATTGCATTTTAGCTTGTTAAGTTAATATTCTTTTCTTTCCCTCAGAAATTATCCTGTAATACTACATTTGTGAAGACTGGTGGTGCTGCAGGGCTTCAGGGCAGCGGGGCATGATAGGTAAAGAATTAGGGGACTTGGAATGATTCTCTGTCAATCAAATTCCTGATCACATGTCCCACATGGAATCTGTGATCTTGATGTTTCAGGTAAAGGCAGGGGAGGCCGGGGCAGAGGGGAGCTCTGAGAGGAGGAACAGAGGTGAGCAGTCTGCAGACACAGGACGAGGAGGGGACAGAGAGTGCCCAAAGAGTGCCCAAACCTGCCATGGTGCCTGAAACTCATATTGCCCGGCTCCTGGGATATCCTAGAAGTCCTGGTGAATCCTATGACCAGCGTGCTGGTGATACTGGGGGAAGCAGGGCTTTGGTTACTTGGAGTTGAATCCCAGTGTCACACAGGTGAGACGCAAGGATAGAAGGACAACTCATGAGAATGTCCACATCACCATTTCCACCAAAGACACTGTTTACTTAGCATTTGCTACGTGACAAACATGGACTTTCTGCTTTGCAAAGAGCATCACGCGTGACTCCACAATATGCACCCCCCGGAGGCAGGTGCTGTCTTACTCTCCACGCAGGAAGCTACGGACCAAGGCCCTGGGAGGCCAGTGACCCACAGAGGGCCATGGAGCTAACCAGTGGGGACTGAAATTTGAACACAGACAGGTTAACTCCAGAGCCCTCCTCATTTTTTTAAAGCACTTATCACCTTCTAGTGTATCTATTAACTACTTGCTTATTATGGTTACTCTTTCTGTCTTCCTTCAATGCTGCAATGTAATGTCCTGAGGACCAGGGATTCCCCTCTGTCCATTGACGTGTCCCAGGAACACAGTAGGCACTCAATGAACATTCATCACAGGTTTGAATTGCCCTAGTTTTGGTAACGTGGGAAGACAGGCAGAGGCCGAAACTGGGTTGGGTGGAGAAGACGAGAGAGCAGGTGAAGACAAGGGAGCCCAGCCCAGAGAAATCACAGGCTCAGAGGTCACCGAGGCTGTGGGACGTGCATCAAGAAGCAAGGCCTCAAGGACAGGGCGCAGCTGCCAGGTGGGAACCAGGGAGCACGTCTGGGCCCCCTCGTGGGCAGTGCACAGGCCCTTTGGTAGAGAGATGCCTCACAGCTTTGGCTGTCAGCACTATTCGCTGGGAGCCCCTCTCTAGCTCTGGCTGCTGGGGTCCCTCCTTGCTGAGGCCACAAAACCCCTCTCCATGTCCCTCCTTTTCCCAGGACACTCAAATATGATCCCTATCTGAATATATCCTTGGAAATAGCACCCAAACATCCCAAGCCTCTGTGTCTTCACTGAATAGGGCCACCAGGGGTCATACAGAGAGCTCCACCCCACTCTCCTGGGGCCAGGCCGAGATCCTGTGGCATTTCTGCCAACTCTGTCCGCTTATCTGTCTCTGCTGCTGGACCCTGAGCTCCTGGCTGGGGTGGGAGCTTGTCACATGCGCTTAGGAGTCAAAAGCCATGGTTTTGTACTGTATCCACCCTGTGCTGGGTGGTGGCCTCAGCAAGCACCCTGCTTCTTTATTAGTAAAGAGGGGATCTTAATACCTGATACAGTTTGGATATGTTTCTTCCCAAAGCCCATATTGAAGTCTGATCCCCAATGTGGCAGTGCTGGAAGCTGTTTGAGTCATGGGGACAGATCCCTCATGAATGGATTAATGCTCTCCCTGAGGGGTGGGGGTCCTGAGTGAGTTCTCGCTCTATTAGTTCCTGTGAGAGCTGGCTGTTTATAGAACCCTGGCACCTTCTCTCTCTCTCTCTCTCTCTCTCTCTCACTTCCTCTCACCATGTGACCTGCTTGTACCCACCGCTGCTGCCACTTTCCACCATGAGTAGCAGCAGCCTGAGGCCTGCACCAGATGCAGCTGTCCCAGAATCATAAGCCAAATAAACCTCTATTCTTTACAAATTACCCAGTCTCAGGTGTGCTGTTCTAACAACACAAAAACAGCAACACAGTAGCCCTCCCTAGCTCATCGTGAGGCTCAGAGTTGATGGGGCAGGAAACACACCAGGGGCAGGGCCAGATGCTCAGGAAATACCGTCAGGATCGGCGTCGCGGCCGGCACCTCTGCACTCCCAGTTCGCAGCAGACACAGCAAACCTCTCCTGTACTGCTGTGGATTCATCACCGACTGTTTAAAACTGTTTTAACATTGCATTTTACATTTGACTTACGAGCTTCTCCACGGGATCCTTCATGTGATCCAGTGGAGTCTCTGGCCTTGTTCTGAGAGTAAACGGGGTGGCGCTAGAAGGGACAGTCCCATGTTGTGTGACCCTGGCCACAGGGACAGGTGGGGCAATGGGCGGGGGGAGACCCAGGGGCTTTCACAGAAACAAAACCGTCCAACAGATCAGGTGAGGAAGCCGGTGGAGATCAGGAAGTTTGTTGGGAGGATTTAAGGCATATAAACTTTCCAATTTTTTTTTTTTAATGAAGTTTTTAAAGCCTTGTGCCTTCTCCTGGATTAGGGGAGAAAAGCTGAGATCATAACGTTTTCTTTAACTCCCCACCCTGCCTCTCATCCACCCAGAGATGGCTGCAGAGCGGGAAGCACCCACGCTCCTCCGAAGAGGAAGTCAAACGCTGGCGCCAGTGTCCGAGCATCACTGAGGTGGTCCTGCAAGAAGCCCGAAGCAAAGGGAAATCCCCATGAGCTCAGCTCACCACCATCTCCCGGGCCCCGCTGTCCTTCCTGGGGACCCCGGCTGCGGTGGCCGTCTTCTCGGGGTCAGCCCCAGCTCCCGGGCACCAGCCCTCTGCGTGGCTTGGCTCCGCTGCCTCCCCGGCCTCCAGGTGACCCGTCAGCATTCTGATAAAGAAGGAAAAGAAAGGGTCATGGGGACCCCTCAGTGCCACCCTGACCCTCACCTCAGTGCCAGCTGCCAGCCCCTGTCCCCCAGCTCAATGCGAGCCTGGACAGCACCTCTCCCTCTCGTGCCCACGCTGCCAGCCTGCGGCCGGCCACAGGAAGGGAAGGCTCTGCATCTGGAAACTCCAGAACGGAAGGGGACTGAGCAGCCACACGTGGCCTCCCCGCGACCAGCAATGGAGACGCTTGATTCACAGTCAGTCTGATGCCTAATCACGCCGTCTTGGACAGGAGCGGGCTGGTCCCCCCGGGAACGTGAGGGAATTCTCGGCCTTTAACCAGCACGAGCTGAACAGGCGCCTAAGAGAACTGGCGCAGCCCCTCGGCTGTGCTGAATGAAGGTCTGAACCCGCCGGGGTCACCACAGTGAGGACAGAATGGAAAACACCTTTCACAGGAGCAGCCTCTGAGCAGCTGCAGGAAGCTCACAGCAATGAGCAAGCAAAACAGAAAATGCAAAGCGTCCCTGCAATGCGAGGCGTCCTCTCTGAAAGCCCCCACCTCAGCCCACCTTCCCCTCCGCTTCTATTTTAAGGAAGCGGGTGGCCTGGCCATTATCAACAGGAGACTAAGCCTGACTCCTCAGACGTCGGTGACCTGCTCAGCCGGCAGAGCTTGGGGACCTGGGGACCTGGGGAACCTGGTGGAGCAGGGATCCTGACTTACAAAGACAGCTCAAATCATAACAAAACGTGCCTGTTTATAAACAGAAATGTATGTATTTATGAACTTCAAACGACATAAAAACAAGAGTGAACAATTTAACCACAGTGACAGGAACATAAACTGGACAAAGGGCTTGTTTCCTGATGAAAGGAAATCAAAGGCACCAGCAGCAAAGGGCAGCTGACAACCGAATCACTCGGTCGTCCCTCGCTCCCGGGTCCCCCTAAAGGCTCGTCCAGAAGTGGCCGAGCTGACTGTTCCTGCAGCCCCACAGAAGCCACTTCTTTCCCGTGTCTCTAGAAAAACATCCCAGTGTCCTCGGCCCCAAACGCGTAAGACCCCTCAGGAGAGGGGACCCCTTCCGTCACCCAGACGGCTCCACCTCACCTAGTCCATGGCGGTCACTTCTGCCAGGACCCTGTTTCTACTCGGCCATGTCCCCAGCTCCAGAAAACCAGAAA